TTACCTTTTATCCTGTAAGAAGAAACTGCTCTTTGTTCTAACCCATTTCCCAAGCCCAGGGCTCTGGGTGCCCTTAGGGTGGCTTGGTGCTGCTGCCCCTAGCTACAGAGATTGGGCTCTGGCCACTCCCCCTCCCCAACCTGAAGCCAAGTTTCTGTTTTCACTTATGTGGGCCTGAGGGGCAACTTGGTCTGCAGCTCTTGGACAAAAATCAAAACTGGTCTCCACTGCTCACTTTCTCTTGAAATCATTCCTACCCTAGGAAGAGAAAGTTGATCATCAGTTAGCTGACCGTCTGACACAAACAAGAAACTTTTGCTCTTTGCTCCAGCTGATGCCTGCATCCAACCTATCTGAGCTTGTCTGTTGAATCTTTTTTTTTTTTTTTTTAAAGCCAGATATGCTCTGAAGCAGTGTCTAATCCAGAAAGGAATATATTGATATCTGGTCATCCAGCCCCTTTTCCTTTAAAGTGAAGGATTGATTTTTATGCCATTTAATTTCCCAGTGGGGCAAAAATGGAATTGAAAGAAATAAGCACCGGAGTGGCTTCGAGTGCAGGCAGGCTTAAAGCATTTCCAGCTCTCTGCCACCAGGCAGGTGGTTTTAAAGTAGAAAATAAACCTTTGGGCTAGAACTGCTGTGGGGGAGTTTTTATTGCAAGGGTTGGGGGCGGGGGAGGCTGGGAAGAGAACTACGAGGGAGCCATTAGGGGTTTCCTCCATAGCTTTCACCTGAAGTCAGCCCAGCTTTCCGTGTCAAAGGGGGCGGGTTATTTCCACAGGGCTCTCGACCTTACTGTGGCTTGCTTTTCTTTTCTAATGAGTGCTACAACTTAAGCAATAATCTGGAAGAACAGAACTTTTGATTGACAGGGAAACTGTAGCTCAGGGAAGTGTCCACTGAGCCCAGAAAGGTATTGACGGCTAGTCACGGAACGAATGCCTATGGACAGATCTGGAGGCAGTCACAAACTAATCATGAGCTCTGTTTAGTCAAGGAAGCCGGTGTGGCTTATTTCTTCTTCAGATTGAAAAGCACGAGTCTTGTGATGTCTCTGGCAGTGGAATTGATACCACGAAATGGCCTTTTCCTACAGCCTCTCTGTGGGATGCTGTGGGCGGGATGCCGTGGGCGGGATGTCTTGAGAGGTGCTGAGCCAGTGAGCACACTGAATAGTCTAGAAGATGGTACAAGCAATGCAACGCACTTGAGTATATAGAAAACCCCCAAATTTACTGTGATAGATTAGCGATTGATTATTTTAAAGTCTATTTTTTGACACCCAGGCTGCCCTCAAACTTGGATGTAGCCAAGAGTGTGCTTGAGTCTCTGAGCCTCCTCCCACCACTTGTCAGCACTTGGGGATTAAAGGTGTTCATCACCATGCTTATGTGTGCCAGGGATGAATCCAGGGGTTTGTGTAGCTAGACAACCGCCAGCTCAGCTCCATCCTCAGGCCTTTATTTTTGATTTTACTAATAACTAAACAGGAAGGAGAGTTAAGAGAGGTTGGTTATTCTATACATCCCCTTCACAGCTGAAGAAACAGAGAATGGTGAACCTGTGCCCTGGGTCTCTGGCACTTACTTTAATATGGGACTAGTTTTCTGTTTACTATTAAAAATTGTTAACTCTTGCCTAAATTTACAGTATACATTTTAGCAGGTGGTTGTGGTACATACCTTTAATCCCAGCACTCGGGGGAAAGACAGAGGCAGGCAGATCTCTTGAGTTTGAGGCCAATCTCATCTACTAAGCAAATTCCAGGACAGCCAGGGCTATGCAAAGAAACCCTGTCTCAAACAAACAAACAAACAAACAAACAAATCCTACTTCAAGAACAAACAAAACAACTAATAATTTTTTAAAATATATACTTTTTAATTATTTGGTCCTTTTATTTGTTCTTTCTCCAATGTTCATCATTTATGTAAACCCAAATATTTCCTTCCCAAGTTAAAATGTTTATATTTTATTTGAGGTACCAAGAACATGGTTCTGATGGATTGCTTTGAAATTTTCTTTTTTTGATTGAGAATTTCATACATGAATATTTTATGTTTGGCTAAGTCTGCCTGCCCTCATTCCCTCCCTCCAGTTCCTCCCCCATTCCTACCTCCACTATTTCCTCCCAATTTCATGTTTTCTCTCCTCTCCCTTTTCTTCTTCCTTCACTCCTCAAACTCATGGAATCTGTTTAGTGCTACCATATGTGCGTGAGTGCACTGCCATATGCCATATTCGGTCATATTCCAGTCTCTCAGGGGCCACATCTCTGAAGAAAACAGGCTCTTCCTCTCCTGCAGCCTCTTCCCAGATACCCTCTAACTGGCAAAAGCTCTTCAGCTAGGGGAAGAAATTCCAACTTCCGTAGTGTGATGTTTTGCTGGCTTGAACTCCTGCAGGTTTTATACATGTTGTCATAAGCACTGTGAGTTCATATGTACAACCTCCCTATTGTATCCAGAAAATAATGTGTCTCTGTCACTTACTGGCTATGGTTCTTATACTCTTCTGACTTCTCTTCCTCAATGATCCCTGAGCCTTGGGAGGACAGAGTATGATCTAGTTGTCCCATTTAGGGCACTCCTCAACCTCCTGTTCTCTGCATGTTGGTCAGTTGTGGTTCTCTATTAATTGCTGTCTACTGCAAGAAGAAGCTTCTCTGGTGAGAATTGAAAGATGTGCGTCTCTAGGTATACATATAAGTGCTTAGGAGTAAGTTCTATGCCCATTTAACAGATTAGGAGAAATGTGTTCTCCTGTGGCACCTCTGACTTACCTGGCTTCAGTTTCTTGGCCTTGTTAATGAAGCCAGACACAAGTTCTGTCTTGTGCAGAAGGCTATGACTCTAATCAGAAAATAGCTTGTTACTACTGTAACATGTGTGCCGCTATTGTTCCAGAGTGTGTGTGTGCACGTGCGCACGTGCGCACGTGCAGTGTGTATGTTGGTTGACTGTGAGGCAAGAGGACATGTTTGTGGAGTCCATCTTCCACCTCTCCTTATGTGGGTTCTGAGGATCTCAGGTCACCAGACTTTCCCAGCAAGTGCTCTACCCACTGAGCCATCTCAGCAGGCCCAATTCAAACCCTTACCTACTTTGTTTTCATTTTAATGTTTCTGGGAGCCAGGTTCACTGACAATGAATCGCTTCAGTGTTTGTTTGGCCAAGAAAGTTTTGTGTTTTACATTTTTAAAAAGGATCTGGAGTTATTTTTATTGCATATGGAATTATTCTAGTCTTTTCTTCTTTTGTGACTTTAAAAATTTTGTTTTACTTTCTTCTAGCCTTGTTTGCATGCATCTGATGAAAAGTCTGCTATGACTGTCACCCTTACTTCTCTGAAGTCAAATGAATGTCCCATCTTCTTTAAGGCCTTTCTCTTTGTAGGTTATCATAGTTCAGAGATGATATGGCTGGCATATTCTTTTCTTCTGATTTTATGTTTGCTACATGGCTTTTGTTTTATGGTACTGCCATTAGATTACCTATCTTCACGGCCTGCCAACGTTACAGCGGCATCTTGTGGTCTATTATTTTGCAACTGAACTCTTTTTTTTTTTTTTTTTTTTTTTTTAGTTATTATATGTAAGTACACTGTAGCTGTCTTCAGACACCCCACAAGAGGGCATCAGATCTCATTGCAGATGGTTGTGAGCCACCATGTGGTTGCTGGGATTTGAACTCATGACCTTTGGAAGAGCAGTCAGTGCCTTTAACCACTGAGCCATATCACCAGCCCGCAACTGAACTCTTAACATTTTAAGATTTACTCCAGATTTTTAATTAGTAATGTAATTTTGTATGATAGCTGTCTGGTTCGCTCCTTGCTTAATCTATGACTGTTCTTTTGTTCTTAGAGTAGTCTTAGAGTATAACCTGTAATTTTCATTTCATTTTATTTATTTGTTTTTATTTTTGGTTGGTTGGTTATTAGGCTTGTTTGTTTGGTTTTTTGCTATTTTAACGTTTTCCCTCTTTTAAATTTGTTCTTTGGCAGTTTCACACAGGTAAGTAATGTATAGTGACCACTGTTATCCCCAAATCTCTTCCATCTATTGCTTCTGTCTGCCTCCTCCCATCTATTACTTCTGTCTGCCTCCTCCATCTATTACTTCTGTCTGCCTCCTCGCATCTATTACTTCTGTCTGCTTCCTCCCATCTATTACTTCTGTCTGCCTCCTCCCATCTATTACTTCTGTCTGCCTCCTCCCATCTATTACTTCTGTCTGCCTCCTCCCATCTATTACTTCTGTCTGCCTCCTCTTCTCCCTACAATCTTTGTCACACACACATGTCTATTTATTTGTTTGTCACTCACTGAGTTTTACCAAGGGCATAGACTTGGAGGAGGTTTGTTTGTTTGTTTGTTTATAGAATCTTTGCTGTATATCTAAGGCTGGCTTGTCCTCTGTTCAGGTCCTCCTGCCTCAGCCTCTTGACTGCATTCCTCAAACATATGAAGCATGGGGATTTTATTTAGGGAGTTTATAGATATTTATATGTAAAAATACATGTAAGAGTGGGCATATCTTTGAGCATGTTCTGTTTAAGGTCTTAGGTCACATGTTCAAAAAGGAAAAGGGGGCCAGAGAGGTGGCTCAGCAGGTAAAAACACTGGCTTCTTTTAAAGAGGATCTAGGTTCTGTTCCTAGTACCCACATGATGGCAAACAACCACCTGTAACTCCTGTAGCAGGGAATCTGATGCCCTCTGCTGGCCTCTGTAAGTACTGCATGCCCATGGTGCACAGACATGCATGCAGGCAAAAAAACAAACATTTAGTAAAAAAAAGAAGGGAAAGAGGGTGAGAGAGGGGAGAGAGAGAAAGAGAGAGAGAGGGAGAGAGAGAGAGAGAGGCAGAGAGAGAGAGAGAGGCAGAGAGAGAGAGACAGAGAGACAGAGAGAGAGACAGAGACAGACAAAGAGAGACAGAGAGACACAGACAGAGACAGACAGAGAGAACCATGTGGGTACTGGGAACAGAAATCAGTGCTTGTCTTGGCAGCATATATACTAAAATTGGAACAATGTAGAGGAAATTAGCATGGTCCCTGTGGACGAATGGCATGCAAATCTGTGAAGCATTCTATATATTTTAAAAAGGAAAAATGATGCGAATGTGAGCTTGCTTGGCTCAGGTCAAAAGGGGAAGCTTTGGGGAGGAAGCTCCTGGCTATGCTAGATTCAGCACTACAGTGAGTCGGGCTTACTCTGGTTGCCTACCATGCTAGGTAGCACAATAACCAACCCTGTTAGGGAGCTAGTTAGCTGTCAGCAGGATGAAAAGACATTAGTCTGGAGCCTTCCCTTGTAATCAGCAGCTCATCAAATCAAGACCAGGAGCAGCAGGACCCTAATTATTGCTCAGAGGAACATGAGTCCTAGCTCTGGCTCTGGGAAAAGACAGGATATTAATTGATAACTGTCAAACCTGGTTCCAGGACTGCAAATCCATGTGGGACTAATGTAGAGGAAGAAGATTTCTAAAGTAGAATGAATACATAGCGTTTTCCCTCCTGCAAGAGTTTATCCAAACAGGCCCATCAAAGACCTGGACAGGAAGAAGTCTCTCAGGAAAGCTATCTGTCTTGAAAGCTAAAGAAATAGTATAATGGCCGCCTAAAATATAAATCGGGCTAAAGGCCTTTGTCTCACTTCTTGAGAGATCTCCAGGTTACTCTAATAATAAATTTTACCCACTTTCTCCCCTGTTCTCTGTGATTCATTAGAATGTATTCAGTGATGATTGAAGGAACCTAGGAGCTAAGAAAAGGCAGAAGGACTTCATCCCGAAGGGTTACTTGGTGACCTTGACTCCCCCTTCAAAAATTCTCCAAAGAATTTTAGCTGCAGCTGGGCAGTGGTGGCTCAGGCCTTTAATCCCAACACTTGGGAGGCAGAGGCAGGCGGATTTCTGAGTTCGAGGCCAGCCTGGTCTACACAGTGAGTTCCAAGACAGCCAGGGCTACACAGAGGAAACCCTGTCTCGAAAAAAAAAATTTAGCTGCAATATTAAGAACAACTCTAAAAGTACATCAACTGTCTCTTTAAGGAGTGGCAGCTTTTTCTCTACATGAGTGGAAGAGTTGTCTTCTGTTGCCTCGTATGTTAGGTAATGTTTATACCTGATAGAGGAACTGCGATATGTTTGTGTGAACAGGACCAAGGCTCGGTGTGTGTGTGTGTGTGCGCCTGTGCTAGGGGGACGCCGACAGAGTCATGTGAAGAATTCCACAAATCAGACTCCAGAGACCAGCATCAGGGTACAGATCTGAATTTATTGCCCAGGGCATAAGCTTATATACAGTGTTTGAGCCAATCCCAAGTCCTTAACTCCTCAGCCAATTGTATTTCACCACATCGTCACTGCGCCCCAATGAAAGCCCTGCCTGATGAGGTAACTCAGAAGGGGGAGGACATAGAATCGTTACCTGTTGGGACTTCTCTGAAGACAGGAGAAGCAACCACTGCTCTGGCCTCAGTTCCTTTTTGCTGTTTCACCGGTGTGCTGGAAGCCATCTTAGATGTAATGCCAGGCTCAAATTGTCGTAGGAGCCTGTGGCACCTCATTCTCCATCCCACTGTTTCCTTCACAAGTGTGACCTTCACACCCCACATGTATGTTAGCACATAATATGAGGATTTGTGTTACTCTGGCTAGATGAACTAATTGAGCTGTATTTATTATTTGTTGCAGCTATTGCCAGAGGGTTTGGATTCCTTCTGTGTTCTGTTTTTTTTTCCCCTCTTGAGATGTGGGTTTCCTTAAGTCACCTCCATGGAGAGACCCTGTTTCCTGCATTTCTTTCCACTATGAAACCTTGTTGGTGTGGTGGCAAAGCCTAGGGAATGAATGCAGGTCTCACTGTCTTACAATTAAATCTCAAGAGTCTTAGTAGGCCCGAGTCAGTCTATGGCCTGTGTTCTTCATCTGTGTTTCTTCTTGGCAACTTTCCTGTATTCAACATGAGACAAGAGGGAAGAAAAGGCTGGCATGAGGTGGGTTTATTGCTACCCCAAAGCCTAGGAAAGCCCAGACAAGCTACTTGAGAAAGCTCTGGGCACATTTCACACAGAGCACTCTATGTTCTCTCTGACATAGTCAGGAAGACTTCCTCTTAATGCTCACCTTAAGTAATTGCTAGGGTTTCCAACGTGAGGCTACCGAAAGCAAGAGGCTTCCTTAAGACCAAGATTGTGGTCCTCACAGTGACCTAGAGGGCTAGGACTCCAGCATTTCTGCTCCTTGTAAGTAGATCTTGGTTGTGGCCCTGAACCTGCCCCTCTTTCCATTGCAGTGAGACAATCTGCTTAGCAAACTCAGTTATGGGGCTCAGTCCCTGCTTCTCATTTGCCCAGTCTTTTCTGAGTGGGTTAAGAAGTATGACTTTGGAGCTTCTAGCCTATTTTGGAACTGAAGCAAGTATTTCTGTATGGTCTTCCATCATATAAATAACCTAACATCAATGTTAATATAGGAAAATAATTTAAAACTGTCAGCTTCTCACATACTTTGGGAATAGTGTAATAGAGGAAAGCATCCAAAGCTCTGTTTGCTTTGTAGCAGGACTTTTTCCTGTAATAAAAGATGGTACACTAGTGGTAAGCGGTTTGTGAATATAACAAGTGCTGTGGAAGGAAACACATGTTGCCTCTAGGTTTTGTACATGAAGACAGTCAGCTAACACTGTACCATACTTGGTTCATCTTTCTTCTCCATGTGTTAAGCATGAGCCTGGCTCATACTAGTATCCTGTTATTAATGCATGGTTCTTTGGTTAACTGAACATTACAATTAACTGTTCCCTGAGCTACTTAAGTATGCTTCAGAAATGTTTGGCATCCATGTAAAAAATTAATCACAAGGGTGTGTCATATTTATTAATTATCTATTTGGATATTTCACCAAAATAACTATCCTATTCATGTATTTTTGTATTCATATGTACTGGCTGGTTTTGTGTGTTAACTTAACACTAGCTGGAGTTATCACAGAAAGGAGCCTCCCTTGAATAAAGGTCTCTATGAGATCCAGTTGTAAGGCATTTTCTCAATTAGTGATCAAGGGTGGGAGGGCCCATTGTGGGTGGTGCTAACCCTGGGCTGGTAGTCCTGGGTTCTATAAGAAAGCAAGCTGAGCAAGCCAGGGGAAGTAATCCAGTAAGCAGCATCCCTCCATGGCTTCTGCATCAGCTCCTGCATCCAGGTTCCTACCCTGTGTGAGTTCTAGTCCTGACTTCCTTTGGTAATGAACAGCAATGTGGAAGTGTAATCTGAAGAAACTCTTTCCTCCCCAACTTGCTTCTTGGTCATGATGTTTTGTGCAGGAATAGAAACCCTGACTAAGACATCATATATTTTATATATACAAAATTCAGTTATTTGAGTTATCAGAAACAGAATTATTAGGTAAAAGATTGTTAATGCTAAGAATATATTAGTATGCTTTTGATACAGATCAACTACTTAGCTTAAGTAATATAACATTTTTTTATAGATAACCCAAGTTTGTTTCAAGCTAGAAAACCTCCTTCCTTTAGCTTCCCAGTTTCTGGAATTACAGCAAGAATGAGATGCCCTGTGTTGTGGACAGGGAGGAAATTAGAGAACTTAAACTCAGGGATTTCTACTTTTTCTTTCCTCTTCTCTACCCTTCCTTCTTAGGTAAAGGAAGGGGGGTGGAAGAGAAAAGGGGGATGTAATAATATCAGGGAAATTAGAGGAATAGACAAATAGGGATAGGTTATCAAATTTACTCTGAAACAAAGCATTGTACAACCATATCTTACATTGGTAAAAATCTTAATAATTAATGCAAATTAAAGTTATAATTTTACATTGGTACAGATTTTATAGATTGATGCAGATTTAAGGTTTTCATTGGTGTGAATTTCTTATATTGATACAAAATTTGAAATTAATATTGTTACTCTTTGATAGGCATTGTGCCTATGCAACTCATCTGAAAATACAAGGCTTAGACCCAGTCCTTCTATAGCTGCCATTACAAACTGGTTAGGATGACTAAATAACACACGTTAAGGGCCAGATAGTAAACCCATGGTTATATTAGATTCTGATTTAATTATAATAAAATGCTTTTAATTTACTCAAATAGGAATGACTAAAAATAGTTAATGTTTAACAGTTCAGATTTACTTTAAATAGCTAGATAGTCTTCAAAAGGAATAGACGAATAGGGATAGGTTATCAAATTTACTTTGAAACATAGTCCACAGAATATGACATTTAAGGCCATTTTCTTATTACAGATCATTTGACTAGAGACATGTCTGCTCCTGACAGCACCTCCTTCTTGGTTCAGAGAAGAAAGTGAACATCATTGTAGTTGTTCCAGTTGTGACAAGATAGCCACTAGACAAGAATTGCCTTAATTCATCTACAGACAAAATTGCTGTCCTGGAAAAGGACACACTATACAAAGCAGTCAACTGATAACTCTGCCAATACAGGGTAAACAGTCCTTCATAGTTCTACTTTACAAGGCCTGTCAGATGGTCCTGAGTCAGAAGGCTAATGATACTCAGTGTCGTGAGAAATGAGGGACTGTCTAGGTAGTCAGCCATCTCTACAAATTGGTTATGTTTTGGAAGCTATGTTTTATGCTTCCTATATTTTCAGGAAATATTTAAGTCATTCTTGGATTCTGATGGGGTTGAAGACTAGTTATAGTCTCATAGTCAATTCAAGCTGTTTAGCATTGAGAGAGATGATACAGATCTGAGAGGATAGTTTTCAGATGGTATACAATCTAAAACCAGGATGTAATTCAGGTATAGAATTGTAAGCTCTTTAAGTTAGGATACATGGTAGAGTGCTTTATCTAAATTGACAGATATGATGAACTGGGTGTTAAGAGTATCTTGTCTTATAATATAATCTTATCTTATAATTTACATAATTGTAATGGTTATACTCAATTTATATCTGAAAGAAAAGAGTCTTTTAATTGGACAAAATGGGGAAAATGTTGTGGGTTGCCCTGGTGCTGTTTGTATTCTGATGTTAATTCTGCTTCCTCAAAAGGGGTTGCCCCAAGGAGAAGTGGATCACATACTCAGATGATTCCATGTGA